CAGTTTAACTGAAGGTTTCAGGAGAAAAGATGACAAAGTCAGCATGAAATTATGACAGCTTGCACTGTCTAATAAAACAAAACTGGAATTATCTACAGTTGCCAGCAGGGATTCCTGACTGCTGGAGGGAGCCCTCAGCCAACTTTCTAAATTGTCTGGAGTATCCTCAAGGCACCAGAGCGGAACTCAATGCTTTCCTTGTGGGAAGGTGTGGGTAGCAATGAGGAGAAAGCACTGGCTTGAGGGATTGCAGATGGCATATGGCAGAGGACCCTGGGGCCAGGAGCCCAGCACAGTGAGGGAGGAGCAGAGAACAGCTTCCCCTGGTGGCTTTGGGTGATGCTGCCAGACAGGTAAGAGCTTTCTCTGGGCTGGGCTCCTTGGATGTGAAAGACCAGGCTGATGCCACTGCCACCACCAACTAGAGCACCAGTGGTGTCCAGTGATGGCATCTTCTCCTCCTGCAGAGGGTCAGGGATCCGTGCTGAAACCTCCGCGTCTCTCTCCCTCAAAGGGGCATCTGCCCTGTGGTTTAAGACCTCTTCACATCTGCTCTCCATCCACAGTGCATGTTCTCCCCCTCGCAGGGACTCCCCAGAGACCCTGGCCTCAGCCCAAATCATCTCTGGGGTCCTGGAGAATTTTTCTTGATATCTGCTGGATTCAACTCTGACTTTGAGGAACTTTTCTGTCTCTGTGCAAAAATAACCTTGAGCCAAAATTTTCAAATTTGATGTGGCTTCTGTTGGGCAGATTTTCCTGTGTTTTCTAGAACCAGTAAATTAGATTGGTCTCTGTGCCTTCTATTTTAAGTCCTAATAAGAGCTCTTTGTGTGTTTCCTAGAATGCTACCACGATGCCTTCCAGCTTGGACTTAGTGCTAGAGAAATATCTGCTCACTCATTTCTCAGATGCACACAGAGAACCCCACCACCACACACACACACAAAGAGAGATGCAGACTCGGGACATGGTGGAAGGTGTAGCACAATCTGACCAAGGACCCTGTAATCAGGGAGAGAAGGTTGCAGAAAGAATGGGAGCCCCCATGACAAGCAGTTATTAATATACACAAAATGTGCAATTATTAACATGTAATATAGAATGGGCAATATGTAACATATAATAGAAAATATTTCTATATCTATCCATTATATAGTATATATTTTATTTAACACTGTAAACTATGATAAACCATATCTTATATATAGTTATATAAAATACACTGTTAAATGTATATATATGATATACAGTATATTTTAGTAAATCTATTAATTTTGAAATATTACACATATAAACAATGCATGTAATTTATGTAGATACATAACATTGTTTTAATAAATATGTAAATTTAATTTACTACACATTTTTATGATATATACAAAATTTTATGTATTACATATATAATTAAGAGACCCAGATACTATGGGCGGCTGACTCAACACACTCTCACACCCTGGAGGAGAGGTGGGGGTTACAAGGGGTAGAAAGTGGGTTCACCGATCCCCTGTGCACACAGCATAAGAACAGAGCAGGGCAGAGCCTCACCCTTCCCATCTTCCTCTTCGGCCCTAAAGGAAATTCTGTCCCGTGAGTGAGGGGGTGGGACAGGGATCAGGACCCTGACAGGGATGCCTCAGAGCTCATCTTGCAGAGTCCAATTGTTGGAATTCTGACCCTCCCGTCCCCAGCTGTCCCTTTACTATGTCCTGGGAACATTGCATGTGATTTTTATTTGCAGATTTGTTCCTGACGTGAGGCTGTCTGTCTTGCCTGGACATGACCTGGGCCATGACTCCCCGAGACAAGTGTGTGGTCAGAGCTCTGAGCAGAATAAACCCCCCTGGCTGAGAGTAATTCTCTTTGCTTGATCCTCAGACCCCAGGCCCACTGGGGTGGCACTGTCACCCACAGCTCAGCGGGAGGTCCTGCAGCTGCTCTGCTCAGGCCTCCCCCACACAGAGGCTCCCTGCCTGGGCCTGGGGCTTCTCCCTTAAAATCTAAGTGGAGGCAGCCAGGCCCCCAGGCCCCTGCACACTGAGAGGTGATGCACAAAGATGCTGGTACCGTGGCCCCAACTGTGTGCAAATGACAGGCCAATAAGGGGGGAAGACAGCCTTGGGGCAAAGCAAAGCGACTGTATTTGGAAAGCCAGCAGGTCAAGATGTTGGATGAGGGCCCCAAAGGACCATTTACCCGACTTAGAATTCAGGCTTCTTTTTTGCCACAAGGGGACGGGGGTGGCTGTGGTTGCAGGATTCTCATTGGTGGCTTCTCTTTGCCAGCCAGGCCCCAGCTGGGCTGCGATAATCCTGTGTTTGCGCAGCTGTCCAGGTGGGTCTGGTCACAATGGTGCTGCAATGGTCCCACAAGACACATGTGATTCTCTGCTCTGCAACTTCTCATCTCTATGGGAATGAAAAGCATTATCCTTAAAGGTCCAGCCTGGCAAGCAGAGCTTTGAGAAAGGGCTAAGATTTTCATTTGTAGCTTTGGGCCACATTCCTTTTCAAAGGTGCTGGGTCTGCAAGACAGAGAATGTAGATTGGACATAAGAGGACAGACCCAACATACAGTCAAGTTCAATCTTCTCTGTGACACCTGCTCTGTGTACAGTAACTCAGGATGGAGACACCGTACCTACAGATGCCTGACACTGGAGGATGAATTCCTGTTACTCACAGCCCACGGGACCCAGAAGTCACGTCAGTGTCCCAGGTCTGAGTTTGGGGAAGTACAGACAATGGTGCCGGGTCCCTGAGGTGACAGCCCTCTGACTCTGGGCTGGGACAGGGGACGTGTGAGCAGAGGTCTGCCTGGGTGAAGGTGTCACGGGTGGTGCCCGAGGGAGGGACAGCCCAGCCTTGAGAGTGCAGGGGAGGGTGTGTGTCAGGTCCCCACACCGCTCAGAAGTGGCTGTCCCTGAAGAGATGCTCTGAGCGGCCTCGTGCATTGTCTGGACCCAAAGGCAGTCACAGGTCTGAGCTGCCAGCTGGGAGGAGAGACTCACCCTGGGACCCAGAGCATCAGAGTCACCCCAGCAGAGCAGGCGGTCCCGGGCTGTCCTGGCCGTCCCCGACACTGGTGTTGCCGGTGGATGTTACCGGCGTTCCAGCTTCTTGTCCCATCACAGAAAGAATTGAGAGACAAGACATAGTGGTTAAAAAAGTAAAGTGAAGATTTATTAAAGGATGGGTACTACACTGTCAAGGAGAGAGCAGCAGGCTCAGTTGAGCGGATGACCTGTGTTTCTTGGCAAGTTGTTACACAGGGTGTGAAAATGAATAGGAGGAATATTCATTGGGGAGGGAAGGGTTTGGGGCCTTGTTTCCTGATTATCATCCCAGCTCCACATTCCCATAGTGAGGAGGGACTTGTGATCTTATTTAGTCTGGGTGGGAAATGTCATGGCGTTGGTGCACGATGGGTACTTCTGATCTGCAAGGCCAATTTTTTTGAAATGAGGGCAGAATGAGCAAATGGTTACATTTGGACATTGGAAATTGCTGCCTTTTCTGACCATTTTTTTGTCATTCTCCAGGCCACTCACTCATCACCCCAAAAGCTGTGACCACTTATCAGCCCAAAGGTTCCTGCTTTTCTTCCAATGCCCAGGGGCCCCTGGTGCTTACCTGATGTATGGTTTCCTGCCTTTGGCCTGTGCCCCTCCTTTCTGCCCAATTCCTGCCTTTTTTACTGTGACCCCCTTTCTCTGCTCATATCTAGCAATCTGCCTGCTGTGACACCGGGACGTGCTGTATGTCACTGTCACTGGTGTCTCTGCACAGGGAGGTTCTGCCTCCTGCAGATCCTGACTCTGAGGACTGTGGGGTGAGCACTGACTGCTCCCTGATTTCTGCAGGGACAGACAAGCCAGAACACTGCGGAGTCCAGAACTCTGTGTGTGTGTGTGTTTGTGTGTGTGTAGGTATGTGTGTATGTGTGTATATGTATATTGGAAGGTATCTATGTGTGTGTATTTTTGTACACACATATACACATACATACAAAATGGATATATGTGTATATGTCAATGTTGTGTTGTACGTATGTATGTATGTGTGTGTAAATGTATGTGTATGTAGGTGTGCATGTGTTTATGAGTGTGTATGTTTCTGTATTTGTATGTGTGTATGTATATGTGTGTGTTTGATGGAAATATTGTGCCCCATGTGTCCTCGGGGACTGGTTCCCTCAAAGTCGAACCTGAGCCTCAGTGGCCCCTGTCCCTCTGGTGGCTTCTCCCCTCTGAGGCTGGTTCTTCCAGCAAACCCATCCCTGGGGCTGCTTTTCTGGAAGCCCCTCCGCGGTCTGGAGCCTGGAGCTCAGGAGGCCATTGTCAGGAAGGCGACACCGTGTGGCAGGATTTCCTCCAGGCAGAAAGGAGGACTTCAGGGCAGACCTGCTCTGTGAGCCCCTCCCCATAATAGGAGACCAGATCTTGTTGACAGGGAGACACCTGTCCCCTGTCTTTCCTGCAGGACCGAGACGGAGGACATGCCTCACCACCATGAGTCTGCGGGTCCCGAAAGACCAGGGTTGGGGGAGCACACAGCTCCCCTCTTCCTGCTCCCTCACCGGAGCTGTGGTCCTTGAGCCCTGTGGTGTCCCGGTGTATGCAGGCTGTGACAGCTCCAGAGGGGAGTGCTTAAAGGAAGTTCTAGTCTCACTTCCCTGTGGGGCTAGGGCACCGTGTGAGTGTACGAGCTGCTCTTATATGCAGAGCAGTAATAGCCTCGTCCTCGGGCTGCAGCCCAGAGATGAGTAGAAGCCCTGCATTGGCCGAGGCATCCTTGGACCCAGAGAAGCAGCTCTGGACCCCGGAACCCTGGTGTTTACTGGAGTCTGAGTAGTAGTACAGGAGGTACCGGGGAGGGCTCCCTGCCTTCTGCTGGTTCCAGGATATGTAGTGGCTGCCAACACTGTTTCCACTGGTAAGGGTGCAGGTGAGTATGGATGATGCTCCTGGAAACTCAGAGACAAAAGACAGCTGAGTCTCCACAAGCTGGGAGAGGGACACTGAAAACACAGACTCAGGGCAGATGGGCGGGATCTGCAGGAAACATTCCTAGAGTCTGAGCCACAGGGGCTGCTGCAGGTGGGGAACTGAGACCCAGTCCCTGAGGCCCGTCCCTACCTGTGCAGTGAGAGAGGAGCAGGAGCAGGAGAGGAGTCCAGGCCATGGTGCTCACAGTCCCCTGGTCCCCACACTGGGGCTGGGCTGCCTTAGGCCTCCTTCTCTTGCCAGCCTCTGCCAGTGGAGGTGCGGCCCATGCAAATGAGTGTCCTCCCAGGGACCGCCCAGCCCCTCCCTGAGCCCTGGTGCTGGAGCTCAGCTCATAGCCCAGACTCCGTGTGGATGGAGGGTGGCCTCCCGGTTGGGAGACCCTGGAGGGAAGCACCTGATAGACTACAGGGGTCCCTGTTAAGGGGACTTTGCCAGCCAGGGAGGACACAATGCTGTGTCCCCATCACTAGCACAGGCCTCACCCCAGGCTCATATCCCTCCTGAGCAGCTGTGTAGGGACCACAGGGCAGGCCCACAGCATTCCCTGCTGGTCACGGGGCACAGCTTCACCGAGGATCAGAGACCTGAGGGCCCAGCTGCTTGGGAAGCTCACCTTGTCTCCATTCACAGGTCCACAATCGGCTTCCCAGATTCTGTTTTTCTTTTATGCTGAGTCACATCTGATAAAGTGTTTTCGTTTCCAAATCGGAGTCCTGGTCCATGGAAGCTGCAACGCTGTGCAAATGGAACCATTAAAGGTTACAGCTCCGTCCCAGAGTGCAGTCAAGAAAAGCTAACTGACCCACATGTGCACCAGTGACAAGGGGACAGTGAGATGGTCTGAAGGACATGAAGGGCTATTGCAGGAAAGGGTTTAGATTTGGATTTTCCATGAAGAAGCAAAAGGTCAGATCTGAAACCTGGAAACAGCAGCCATTTCAAAACTCATGAAATGCTTTCAGAATTTTGAAGGGGTTTAGCGTGATTTGTGGAAATGATTTAGTTCGGGAAGCATACCATTTAGTAGTGCACATGTCATGAATTTCCTTCCTTTTTATTGAGGAATATTCAGTTTACAACGTGTCAGTGTTGGGTGTACAGCATAATGTTTCAGTCATACACACATACATGTATTTGTTTTCATACTCTTTTTCACTATAGGTTACTTTAAGATAGTGAATCTAGTTCCCAGTGCTCTACACAAAAAAGTTGTGTATCTATTTTATAGACAGTAGTTAATATTTGCAAACCTCAAACTCCCAATTTTTTCCTTCCTACCATGTTTCCCCCTGGAAACCATAAGTTTGTTTTCTCTGTCTGTGAGTCATTTCTGTTTTATAATTAAACTCGTTAGTGTCTTCTTTTTTCTTTCTTTAGATTCCACATATGAGTGATATGATATCTTTCCCTTTGTGGCTTACTTCCCTCAGAAATACATAATTCAGGTCTATCCAAGTTGCTGCAAATGGCATTATTTTATTCTTTTTCATGGCTAAGTAGTATTCTATCATATTAATATATCAGGGCTACTTGTGATCTATTCGTCATGTGTGAGGATTGTGTTCCTGAGATGGAGTTTTTTTCAACAGTGATATCACATATTTCTTGTGAGGACCCTGTCTTAGAGA